TGCCAATAGCTAATACTTTGCTATAAAATAAAAGCTCTGACAAACTCGGAGGCTCCGTGTGTAGTATTTCTGTGATGCTGCAGTTCATCTCGAAACATTGGCTCCAGTGGTTTTAAATCCGCAGCTCAGAAATTCACGAGCAGGAGGTGAAGAAAACCGAATCGCCAGCTGAATTGTCAGTGAGCTTTGTAAGGCAAAGGCAATTAACCTTGAAACAGCCATAAAGGAGCTTTGCCCCCGGGGTATTAGAACAGAACAAACGTTTCTACAGAAATGCCAGTTGCCCTCTGCAGGTGGGGGATGCTCTTGTCTGAGCTTTAGGAACCAGACGCACATGGTAGCGGTTATCACTTCACATTGTTCCTGCAGCATACTCTGGTTTGTTTCCCACAGTGGGGAAGCTTGAAAAGCAGGGATCATTGTCACGCTGGAGAGGGTTAGCGGGGCCACACGTTTCAACCCTGCTGGTCTGTGCCCTTTTAGGTGTCCCAGGGGATGAGGGACATCAACACAAGGCAGACAGGCATGACACAGAAGACCAGGACCCTTCTGGGCTGGCTGCTAGATACCAGATGAAATACCCAGGGCTTCTAAAGCAGCCCTGGGCTCCTATCTTCAGGCAACCAGATCCCACCAAGGATTGCATGCTGGGCAAGTTGAAATAGACATGCTGGCTGCAGATAGCACTTCTGACTGAAGCCTGCTGTCCTGCCTCCTGGTCCTTTTTGTTACCTTCACCACTGTTAAATCAGGACCAACAACTGTGGTGCCAGCCCCCCTGCAGAGTACCCCTTCAGAGGGCAAATACCTGCTTTGAGCCATTGTGAAGCATTTGCCCTTTATCATCTTCTGGGCCCAACATCAGACAGGCAGGAGGGTCCCAGTCCAGTGTCCACATCTGGCAGACGATATCCCTCCAGAAAAGACCTGTTAAACATCTGTGCACATAGGAGCTTTGGAGAAAGCCTTCTTGGTGCTCTTTCTTGTGGGAGAGACAGCAACCCCCCATCACTCCCTGCTTGGTAGGGCAGTTACAGCAACTAAGGGAGGAAACAGCTCAGGGTGTTTGTCGTACAGCTTGCAGCTTCTCTTGCAATATCACTCTGTGATAAGTATGCATGGAGCCAAGTAAAGCTGCTTCTGCAGCACATTGTCATGCCAGTCAGCCCCTGAGGATGCACGTATGTGGGGCACACAGATGCACAGGGATATTGTCTTGGCAGCAGGGAGTAAAGGCGGAGTTGTGCATGGAGGTATTTGCCTTGCCCTTCAGGTGCTTGTCCTATTTACCCTATCTCTGCTTGGCTGCGCATTCCCTGTTAGCCAGCTTTGACCAGGTCTGAAGCTTTCTCAGGTTTCTCTTTGCAGTCGATAGCCCAGCTGCTCCCCAGCTTGCTGGAGCAGAAAACAAATAACCAGGGGAGTAGCAGTTCAAGGCAAAACTGGGTCAATGAACATTCACGCTCAATTAACACATGTCACCATTCTGTCTCCACAACTGCAGTGAATGCACCTAAAAAGTGAGAACAACCTGAATTAAGGCTGCTGTGCAACGTGAAACCTTTGCTTCTTGGCCGAGCGTTTCCTGTGGCGGTGGTGATGCTGAATTTATGCTCTGCGTGGCTATCATGCTGTGACTGAATGACTTGGGTTTCTGATGTATGCTCTAATGACCACGCTTTCCTTCGTGAGCTTTGCCCTTCTCTTCAACTTGATCAGAAGCACTTTTGCACTTACAAAGTGTTTCACTTTTGGCCCAGGGACTGATCCTATGATACATGGCTAGGCCATTGACCTTGGTGGGTCTGTGAGGAGTTGCAAGTGCCTGGAGGGTCACAGAATCACAGAATCCGAGGAGTTGGAGGGGACCTCAAAAGATCATCTGGTCCAACCCCCCTGCAAGAGCAGGGTAACCTAGAGTACATCACACAGGAAGTTGTCCAGGCGGGACTTGAGTATCTCCAATGTGGGAGACTCCACAACCCCCCTGGGCAACCTGTTCCAGTGCTCTGGTGCTAACTGATGGCAAAGCATCCTTCCCCTGAGGTGCCCAGTGCCCTGACATGCCAAGCAATGCACTCAGTGAATGACTCAGCAGAGAGCTGGTTTGCAACAAAGGAGTGCACAGTTCAAAACGCCTGCCCCCCTCCATCTTTTGGGGAGACATGTGCTTGTGGGTGCTGTAGAGGCATAGGGTGGGTTAAGGATCACAGCTGCACAATCTGCTGATATTTGCAACCATTTTTTCACAAGTGCAAAAATTCCCTCTCTGTTCTGGTCTTACACATTTGCATTTTCTCTTTCAGAACCTCTACTTGCTTCTTCCTTTGGGTCCCTTCATGCATATATGTCTGATTTGTATTATCCCTTTGTTTGAATTGTAAGCCCTTCAGAGCAGCAATCATGTCTCCATCTGTGCCTTGACAAGGGACTTACATGATAGCTTGACTTAAAACCACCCGTCTGTAACTGAGCTATCCTAGGCTTTTGCAAGGAATGAACTTAATGAAGGAAAGTTTTCTTTTTGCTGCACAACAATCTGATCCCTTTGCCAGCTTTTCTTCATTAAAAAAAGTCTTTCCCAGGACTGATGTGAATTCAGAGTCTGCTGGTATCAAATATTTTTAATAATTAGTTCATTATTTAATAATAATTAAATAAGTAATTTAATAAGTATTTAATAAGTACTACATGTATTTGGGGGAGTTTAGCTTGATTTTTTATTTCTCATCCTTCCAGGTACTACAGGTACACACATTTGCATGTACATACGCAGATAAGATAAACTCATCCCTCGTTACATGAACATATATACATATATATATATATACACATGAAGGAAGATCTTCTCCTTAATTTTGATGGTCAGTGGAGCAGGGGCTATAAGTAAAAGGAATATTGTGAGGTTGACAGTAAAAATCACTAGAGTAGGCAACTCTTTAACTAAAATAGCTCTCTGTGGCCACCCTGGCTGGGCTCTGAAGTAAGTCCTTCCAGATCCTTCGCCTCTCTCCCATCCTTCCTTATGCTGTGATCGGAAGTCTACCTTCATGGAAAATGAGTCCATCAGGTTTCAGTAGTCTCCTGACAAGCCAAGCATAAAACAGGGAGCTGCTGCTCCACGCTCACGTGTACACTTGGCGTCTTGGGAAGCAATGAGGAGAGGCTCAGGGCGGACTGAGTTGCTGGGAGGAATTAAGCATGTGGTCATCATCAAATACCAAACCATGTCTACCTGTATTATGTTAAGAGCACAGAACCCACAGTTGTGATTTTTAACTGAAATACTTGGCTTGGAGGCAAAGCCAGTGTTTGCCGTGATCATCCTGAGTTCTGAATTACCGAGGCTCAAACCAACGTACTGTCTCTCCACAGGCAACCCAAATTAGCCCTTCCTTAGATGCCTGGACGTACCATTTTTCTTCTTGACTTGCATGTTGTAACAGTCACAGTCCCCGTTCTGGGAGGAAGATAAAGCAGGGAAAATCCTTTACGCGTTAATGGGATCCGATGGAGTGTGAGCTCAGGTCCCTCAGTGCCGCCAGGGATGGAGTAAAATTTGCTTGCTCCTTTTGTGAGCTGGGGGTCATTTCCTTAGCAGCACTGTGACTGAGTTGTGAGGAAGAGATTGTTCATCTGCATGATAGATCGGTGTCTTCTGGAATCTAAATATTAATTGAAAATCCAGGGTCAGAGGGCAGCTGATGCTTGACTTTGCTCTCTTTCCTCTATCCACGGCTTTGCTCATGCTACATCTTTGTGCCTGGTGCTTGAGAGGGTACCCCAGCGTCATGGACTGTTTCCTAGTCAAGAGGTATAAACCTACTGGCTTGAATACCTGAGGCCCAAGCTTTAGCAGGGGGTAGGGGTTTGAAGGGAGAGGGGGGACCGTTCGCTTCATGCTTTTCACATTTCCCACATAACCCAAAGCAGACTAAACAAAACCAGTGTGAAATCTCATGGCTTGATGCTGCTTTGGTTGTATTTTTTAAGCTGTCATCCATTTATTTATACTTCTGTTTATTTCCTGGATTTACAGCTTTTTTCAGTCTTTTCTTGTGGGGAGGTGGCAGGGGGGGAGCTTAAAACCTTTTGAAAGGGGATTGCAGTGAGCAGTGGCCTATGATTAAAGCCCAGTGTTTTTCCTTGATGCTGCTCCTCCGCAGTAGTGTCACACATGGTAGCATTTAGGAGCCCTTCACAGCTGAGGTGTTTCAAACACTAATGAATGGAAGTTTGGTCATATAACGCAGGCAAGCTTTAAGGCATGCTTTGCTGAATGGTGTACTGTAGTGGCCTGGGAAAGGAAGAGAGTTATAAATTGTGTCAGTTAGCCACCCAGACAAAATGAAGCCATGTGGAAAATCAAATCTATTAAAGTATGAAGACTGTTATAAGCTGTTTTAAGCTGGTCATTCTTCAAAGGTCTCAGTTGGCTGAGGGGGTAAATTCCTCTTCTTCCTAGATCTTTTTCACGTGCTGTCTTAGGCGATGATAAAAACCAACTTTTCACTGACAGCCCCTTTCATTAGAAATGTTTATTGCCCCCAGTTTACCACCCGTGTCCTGAAAGGTACTGCACATTTGTTAAATAAGCAGCGTAAGAGCATCGTGTTTGGTCAGGCCTGCTGAAGGCAAACATGAAGGCAGCACTAGGGCGGAGGAGAACAGCCTACAGGGAGGAGAAAGCTTTCCAGAGCCTTAGCTTACCTGCTCAAAGTGCTTTCCATTTTCTAGCTGTTGATGTCTTCTGGCCATAAGAGGCCCTTGACAGAGCATGGCACAGATGACCTTTTCTTGGCACTCCTTGGGGTAGATGGAAAGCCTGGTAGAGAAAAGTGTGGGGATCAGAGAGTAGGGGACCTACACCTCCTTCCCAAGGTGGGGGTGAGATGTCACAGCAGTTGTAAAGGGCATTTTGTTAGCTCAGGAGGTAGTTGTCAGCAGCATTAATACACACAGTTGCCACAGCATTTATTCTTCCTGTTTGTGTATTCTAGGAAGAGACCGAAGAAACGTCCTCACAAGAGTCTGCAGAGGAAGACTAGGAGACCGCACCACGCAATTTCTACCTCATCAGCAGTTGGGTCTTTTGAAGGGAGAAGACACTGCCTTGACCACTTATTTTCTATTGCCATGGTCTTTCCACTTTTGCCTGGGGGGGGTGGGGGGGGTGGGAATTGCATAACCTTAAAAAGGATTTGACTAATCATCTTTTTTGTAATCCCTTCACAGTCCCAGGTTTAGTGAAAAACTGCTGTAACACAAAGGGGACACAGATTAACGATGCAACCTTTAATTACTGTTTTCTTTTCTCTTAACCTACTAATAGTCCATTTGAGCTGCTAAGTAATGGTGAGTGGGTCAAAAATTGCTCCGAATCGGGTTTATGTCATTCACTGCACTGCATCTAAACAATTAACTTGTAACATAGTCATTATAATGGGCATTGAAATAGGAAAGGCTGTGTGTGTGACACTAAAGCCTTGCAGCTCTTCCAGGAACCCACTCCCTACTTAGTGAACTCCCTGTTTTAGAACACCAAAGATAGGGAATACATACTACTCTTTTTTCTCTTGTAACCTTCTTGTAGACTTGTACTTGATTTTTTATTTTATTTTATTTTTATTTTTTTTAAGACTTACTGTTATTTCAGGAAAAAAATTGAAAGCTGATCTTTCACTTCATTCAGCTGGTAAGCAGAAGAAAGAAATCCACACGAGAAAGGTACTTTCATTTTGCAAAAGGGAAGAAAGACAAAGATACGTTGTATAGTAATAGATACGAACATATCAGCACAAGTAGTAGTAAACGAAACGAGCAGCCCTCATCTTCTGGATGATAGGAAGCCAGAGTTGGCTTCCTGTAGATCCAGGCATTTTCTATGGAAACAAAAATAACTGACACCAAACACCTTATGCCATTAATGACTAAGTCTTTACTGAGAAAAGCGTTTTAAAACATACAGAAAGGTACCTCAAAATTAACCGTGTATTTGTCCTAACAAAAATAATCCAGATGTTTTGCTTAGTTTCGCCTAATTCCATTCGCCCCATACCAGTATTTCAAAAGCATTGCATCCCTCCTCAGTACTCATCAGTCCTGATGTAAGAACAAACACCACGTACCTCAGCTAAGCTCGTGCATTACTTTAAGCAATGTATTTTGACATAGGATGGTTCACTGAGCACCTTGGTGCCAGTGACGTTTTTCCATCTTTTCATTCAAAGCAGCACTTTTAGCACCAGATGCAATATTACCCCCACTATTCAGTGCTACCTCTGATTTTTACAAGTAACTCGACAGACTGATAAATACATGCTGCTATACACATTCAATGCAGGAAATTTTTACTGGGTAGATAAATCATGAGTATCTGCGTTTTCCCCTTATTTCTACTTCCACACTTGATTGCAGTTAAGGAAGCAATATCTTCATTGTGTTTTGGCATGACTATGTATTTTTCTTTCTCTTGGTTTGTTTTTTTTTTTTTCTGTTTTGTTTTGTTGGGTTTTTTTTCAATGTACTTACCCTATTCTCTGCTAGACTTCTGTGTAATGTACTGTTAACTTGAATATATTTTTGTACTGAATTGCTGATAGGTTTGTGAGGATAATTTTCTGCAATGACACTACATGACATAGAAAAAAATTTAGCTGTAATGTTTAAATATTACTGTCCAAGTTTGTACCTCAAATGAATTGTTTAAAGAAATGGACTAATTGATTGACAAAGACCTACCTCCAGACTTTAAATAGAATGAACTTGTTACTTTCAGCATTAGTTTTGAGACGTTGGAAACAGTTAGGACTGCAACTAATCCCTAATTGAAAACTATTTTTGTAAAATAACTTGTGGAAAATGAACACATTTTAAATTACTTTCGTATTAAAAAAAAAAAAAAAAGAACAAAAAAAAAATAAAACCCTTCAAAGAAACTTGAAGCTTTGTAGGTGGGAAGCAACAAGCTCAGCTTTTGCATAATGCAATCACAAATATGTGTTTTAAAAAAAAAAAGAAGAAGAAATTAGTAGATTGTAAGAAAATACTTGACAAGTATTTTCGTGTATTTTACACAAATGTGATTTTGTAATATGTTTCAGCCAGATTTATTTTAAATGCTTCTTATGTAGAGGTTTTTTTTATTCTTCTCTCTCTCACTTTTGTTGTTCCTTCTCTTTCTCTCCTCCTGTTTTGCTTTCTCTAGTTCTGTTTTAGTTCTCTTCTTCCTCTCTTTCCTAGTCAGTACTTTTTACCATTGTATTAATAACTGGGCCAGGGGTAGTTTCTCAGGAAGGCGTCTGTTAGGATGGCTTTAGTACCAAGCCAAATGCAGTTAAGATAACTACTTACTGGCTTCTTCCCAGAGGCAGTGTCAAGAAATACGGACCCTCCTTGAAAGCCCACAGAGGGTTCAGTGGCGGAAATCGCTGAGAAAGAGCTGATCAGAGTATTACAACTAGACACGTTAATACCGAGTGAAAGAGAAAGAATCCTAGCTCTACGGTAGCTCTAACAGGCCAAATCCAGTGTCACTTGAAGGCAGTAGAAGGAATTCTGCTGACTTCAAAGGGCATCGAATCAAGCCTTAAGCAAGTCCCTTTTGGGGTTTTATTTTTGCATTTTTTAAAACCACAGTATTCCGTGGATGACACAGAAATAACGGCTGGGTGTGCGGCACACTTCAGCCTCTGAGAGACTTACCACTCTGAGGAACCGAGTCTTGTATTTTCTCTATATTGTAGTACAATCAAAACACATTACTACCTCTTAGGGCCTACTATACCTCATTTGTTTTCAGACTGAAAAATCGCATGTGGCCACGGAATCAGTGAGAACATCATAAAATTTTTTATATATATAGTTTATTTTTGTGGGAGATAAATTTTATACGACTGTTCTTTGCTGTCAGTGGTCACTGCTAACTAAGACTGGACATTTAACTCTTTACCATTTCTGCAAGAGAGGTGTGTTTGCAGGAAAAAAAGTAAAAAAAACCCGCTTCAAGATGTTTAACTACAGTTTACCTTTTCTTTTGAGTGTCTTCTAACTTTGCGCTTTGTTCTTCGTGTAGAGTTGCTGTCTATGATTGTACTTCAAATCGCTTGCTTGTTGAAAATGTTCCTTTAATGGATTATCACAGTCTGTTCAGCACAATAAACATAATAGCCTCTGTGATCCCCATGTTGTTTGATTCTTAGACTTTTTGTCACAGTTCCATAAAATGGGTAATAAAGTTTGGTCACAGTGACCAAATTTGTGAAAGCTTTGCATGCAAGGAGTCTTCTTTTTTTTTGTCCCAGGACCGTAGGCATGTGCCTGAGAAGTGCATTTGCTGTTAGGGCTGGGTGCTCAGCAGATGGACACATCCCATGACTCTCCCCTAAAGGTGAGGCACCCATTCCTAGCCTGGGACTCGCCGTGCTGAGCTAAGGGCTAAGCCATGCACTCTGGATGCTGCAGTCTTGCCCACCAGACTGGAAACACCATAGCAAGGGCCAAGCTTGGGTTTTGTTGGCTGGCCTCAGACCTGCCTCTTGGGGATACATCAAGATGATGAGCCTTCTCCTCTTCTTAGGCAAGACCACAGTTTGCATCCAAGTTTACGGAGTCTCCATTCTGCAGCCATTAGGTTAAAAAGAGCGGGTACTCAGAGCTGCAAAGACAGGGTTATGGTCTGGGGCACTAATTGAGGAGCTCAGAAAACTCCATTAAAAGCCTCCCTCCTGCCAGACTGTCACAGGCAAGTTGGGCAGGATTCTTCTGGCTCCTTCTCTTCATTTGCTCTTTTATGGCCCTCCTGCCTGTTACAGAGAGTTTTAAAGATCACGGTGACGTCCATTGATTCATATTTGCAGCTCTGCTTCTCTCACCTAAGGTGGTTGCTCAGATATCAATTCCTCAGATGTTTAGGTTTACACATTCTTTGTGCTCACTCATTTGCAAACTCTTCCCCTAATCTCCTTTGGCCTAGTAACCTCTGCTTTCCCAAGGGCTTCACAGCGTGTTCTCTTTGGACTTGCTTACTTGTAAAATAACCAAAACACAATCACAAAAGAAAGCATAAAGAAGTAACACCCATTCAGTCCTGAGTCAGACATGTGAGTAATTGCGTTCCTCACATTGTGTATCTTCCTTTCTCACCCTCCTCGGTGGTATTAAAGAATCATTCCACTTTTCAGACTTCCTGGTGGTCTTCTTCCCTGTGGCTGCCATCATTCAGGTCTTCCTGTTGCTTTATCTGATGTGATGCTCCAGCTGTAACCCACCCACCTAATGGATCAGCCAAGTAGCTGAACTTCTGTTACCCTCTGCTTAACTCCCCTCTGCTTATTAGTCATTCCTCCAGCTTGCTGCACTCCCACTTCCCTTCTCGGGGCATCCTCCAATAAACTTCTACACGCTTCTTGCCACAGTGGGACTATTTGTGTGTATAAAACTAATCAGCTTCTGCAGGATGAAGGCCTGTGTTTGTCTAGCAGCCAAGAGTGCTTTATCCAAGATGCCTGTGGCAAGGGTCATATTAAGTTTCTGCTTTTGCTTTCCACTCCCATCACATCACATCCACACGGAGACAGGGAATTACTGAAAGCTGGCGCTGCCAGTGCCTCGCACAGCAATTTAATTGTCCGTAGCTTTTTTGAAACCTGAAACATCTGCTCTGGTCATCATTACAGACAGGATCCAGCACAATGGCAGCGTGTTTCTCTGATCACAAGAGAGGAGTCGGATCTGTCATACCTCAGACGTCGCCTGAAACCTGAATGAAGGAATGTATCTCACCCTGGCATCTCTGCATACATAGATGAAGAACTTCTGCCACTCAATTCATCCTTTTTTTTATCTCCGACCATCTTCCTGATCACATTAACTGTCAAACGTACAAAAGTACTTCGTCATACAGCCTTCAGTACAAATAAAGCTCCGATTTCTATATGCCTTCTTGATTCAGAAATAATAGCGATTGAAACTTCATTGAACACGGTGCCCAGAGAAGCTGTGGCTGCCCCATCCCTGGCAGTGTTCAAGGCCAGGTTGGACACAGGGGCTTGGAGCAAGCTGCTCTAGTGGAAGGTGTCCCTGCCTCATGGCAGGGGGGTTGGAACCAGATGAGCTTTGTAGTCTCTTCCAACCCAAATCATTACCTCAACTTGCTCAGTCAAATGAATGTCTCACACTGTGTATTATATACGTTGCCTGAAAAATACAGTCACCCTTGCTGTCTGGACATTTCATCCCTGGCACAGTCAGTGTGGGTTAATGCTCTGTTCCTGCCTGAATCCTGGACCCATAGGCTGTGTGCCATGCTAAGAGGCATTATTGACAGGGAAACCCTGATCCCTTTGCTACCCCACATCACTCAAGGGTGCATGAAGAGCAAAGCTGCCCCATGCACACACTCCATCTTGCTCCAGGACCTCTCTGGCAGCAGTTCTGGCCAAGTTGTTGCTCAGACCATACTCACATTCTCCAGCTGGTGTAACAAGCTGTGCTGTTTCTCTTGCCTTCCAGGCTGATCCACCTCCATGTGACAGTGAGGTTTAACATGTCTTTTTCATTCCCACCTTTTATTCCCTTTTGTCAGCCAAACAACTTTCATTTCTTTCATTCCCACCTGTGATTTAATGCTTTTCCCACCCTTTAGTGCTCCAGGTTTGCAGTGCACTTGTTCCATTATTCAAGAAAAAGAAAGCATCTTCCTGTAATTAACATGAATGTAATTATGATTAGCCTGAAGGTAACAGTCCGCTGAGGTAGCAGGCTAAGCGGGAAGCAACCTGCCTGTTTACACTCTCAAAGCTGCTGATGGTTGTTCTCCAGACCTGTAGCACAAGATCATCATCAGCTGTTTTCTGCTAGCAAAAGGGGAAACTGAAGCATTAGGAGATAAGACACAAGTCTTCAACACTGCCTTCCCACTAAGATTGAGCTAATTAAGCACAGCTAAAAGCGTTAGCATTGTCATATAAAGGAGGAGCTTTACATTGTTAATTATGGATAGGGTAAAGCTAGAGCAGGAATCCAAACATATGCTACGTTAAGGAGCACTATTAAAATAATCAGTGACAGAAAATAACAAATGAAAGCTGGGTGGATCTGAAAACCCAATGGCAGGCAGAAACTTTCATTAGCCAGAGAGGAAACCTAGCAAATGCAGAAGTCCCATCAAAAAAAACAAGATTACATTACGTTATGTTTGAATGTCAGCTACAAAGCATTATGTGGGACCACCAAAGATTATGATTTTAGTCATAGGGGGTTTTAATTCAGAAAATCAATTAAATATATATAGTCCCTTAAGGCATTTTATTCTTAGTTCAGGGTGTGGGCAGAAAAATAAGCACATTTTTATTGCATTGGAACACATTTGCCATAAACCCACAGTTTTTAGCAGTATCACATAATTAAGCCCCAAAAAAATTAAATCAATATTTTAAAACAAATCATCTCCGCAGATGCATAGAAGGAGTTACTTTGGTCCTACTTACCTGAAGAGTATTGTCTTTAAACCTACAATATAGTCTAAGATAGGGGTTTTATGAGTGCTGACATGCTCTAAAGGGGTTTACAGTGCATTAGCACACCTAGACTGCAGCTGTGCTTGGGGCCAAGACAAATTAATCTCTATCTAAGCACTGTTAATATGACTATTTTTGCCAAAGGTTCGTAATGTGGGATGGTTTAGGTCTGGCATTTGTATCCCAACAAACACAGAGTAACCTCAGTGAGATCCAAGACCTGGGGAATGTCACCTGCTGGCATCTGCCTCTGCGATCCAGGCTTTTGGTCTCCCCAAAACAAGAAAAGATGGGAGAAAAGCTGAATCAAATATGGTGGTTGTTGTGTTACTAGCAATGTCCTGGGGATCCACCTCCCTGCCCAGTTATAGTCCCCATAGGTCTCAGAGGCACCACAATGGCATGTCAACAGGTCACCTTACTTCTTTGTGGGGAGAAAGGGGTCTTGCTGTAAACAAGACTGTGTGTGGAGAAGCTGATGACACAGAACTTGAGTTTGAGGTGGCCATAACAAAAACCCCACTCTCACCTTTACAAACAGTTTAGTTTTCCCAGGCACATCTACAGGCTGGGCAGAGAAGAGATTCAAAGCAGCCCTGCAGAGAAGGACTTGGGGGTGTTGGTCGATGAGAAAATGAACATGAGCCGGCTTCAGTGTGCGCTTGCAGCCCAGAAAGCCAACCGTATCCTGGGCTGCATCAAAAGGAGTGTGACCAGCAGGTCAAAGGAGGTGATCCTGACCCTTTATTCTGCTCTCGTGAGACCTCACCTGGAGTATTGTGTGCAGTTCTGGTGTCCTCAACATAAAAAGGACATGGAACTGTTGGAACAAGTCCAGAGGAAGCCATGAGGATGATCAGGGGACTGGAGCACCTCCTGTATGAAGACAGGCTGAGAAAGTTGGGACCATTCAGCCTGGAGAAGGCTCCATGGAGACCTCATAGCAGCCTTCCAGTATCTGAAGGGGGTCTATAGGGATGCTGGGGAGGGACTCTTCATTAGGGACTGTAGTGATAGGACAAGGGGTAATGGGTTAAAACTTAAACAGGGGAAGTTTAGATTGGATATAAGGAGGAAATTCTTTCCTGTTAGGGTGGTGAGGCACTGGAATGGGTTGCCCAGGGAGGTTGTGAATGCTCCATCCCTGGCAGTGTTCAAGGCCAGGTTGGACAGAGCCTTGGGTGATATGGTTTAGAGCGAGGTGTTCCTGCCCACGGTAGGGGGATCGGAACTTGCTGATCTTAAGGTCCTTTCCAACCCTAACTATTCTATGATTCTGTAATCTTGATATGCATCTGTTTGCCTTTGGGTGCATGGAGCTTTATCACAGACCGTAACTGTGACTGTGTCTTTGTAACACTTTAAAAAAAGGGGGTTTTTTTTAGATTTTTCCAAAACTTCTGGTGGTTTTCCATAACACGTGATTCTGGCACACTCAGCAAAGTGTTCTGTTGTACTTGAAACAACAGTACAGCAATGACACAGCACAGGGTGAGAATGAACGTCAGAAGCCTCGTGTTATCCAGACCAATAAGGACATTTGTTTCATAAATAAGTTTCAGAGCATCACTATTCACAGTTTTACAGGAGCAAAAGCTACAGTTTCTGATTAAAATCCTTAGAATTACATTGCTCCATCAGCACTTCATTATCCGTGCT